TGCGCACTTGTCTTGCCCTGTGGACAAGTGTTCACCCCTAAGTATGGCTGTGCCTACAGAAGTGCAACATGAATAGCAACAGCAAAGTCGCCATGACACACCTCGAGTGGCGCTGCCGCGGGGAGGAGGGCTGTTTCCAGGCTTGGCGCAGCGTTTCGTTTTGTGCTGGGTCCTCGGATTAGGCAGCCACCAGGAGCCCGATGCTCACTGCCAAGTTCCACGTGAGGCAGAAGGTGGGAAAGGGTGTCCTGACACCCCCCCCCCCTTGTGCTCTCGGTGCACGGACAGCTGAGACTGGAATTAACTTCATCAAGTCAGGGGCTTGGTCTGTCTTGCTGCAGGTTTTATAATCAAGGCCTAATGTAGAGCTTGATACATGGCATCTGCTGTTAAGTATTTATTAATATAAATTAATTGAATACATTTGTATTTCAACCTAATAAATTGATACCTAAAAATTTAAACAACCTAGCCCTGACCAGTTTGGTTCAGTGGATAGAGCATTGGCCTGCGGAACGAAGGGTCCCGGGTTCGATTCCAGTCAGGGGCATGTACCTTGGTTGCGGGCATATCCCCAGTGGGGGGTGTGCAGGAGGCAGCTGATCAATGTTCCTCTCTCATCGATGTTTTTAACTCTCTATCCATCTCCCTTCCTCACTGTAAAAAATCAATAAAATATATTTAAAAAAACATACAGAAGAGAAACCAAGATGGCGGCATAGGTAAAACCGGAAATTGCTGCCTTGCACAACAACTTCAAAAACACAACTAAAAGACAAAACAGACATCATCCAGAACCACAGGAAGGCTGGCTGAGTGGAAATTCTACAACTAGAAGGAAAGAGAAAAGCACACTGAGACTCAGAGGAGGTGCGGAAGTAAAGTGCAGAGGTACAGAGGCACACGTGGAAAGGGCTGGTAACTGAGGACGTGGCTGTCTTTTTCAATTGGGAGGGAGTCTCAAGCTCCCAACTGCTCTGATCTCCAGTTCCGGGCGAGTCTCTGGGGACCCAGAGTCATAGGGGGAGAAACTGGACAGTCTGGCATCAGTCAAAACTTGAGGGCGGCTTTCTCTCAGAGGTGCTTGCAGCGATTACTGGGACACTGAGACCTGGGGCCTCTTAAGGCAGGACTGAGGAACAGCCATAGCTGCTAGCTCTGCCCTGTTGATCCCCTGAGACCCTGCCCCACCCAAGCTGTGAGCAGAAGCTTTTGCATATGAAAGGCCTGGCCCTTTGCAATGTGAAAATTACCTAACAAACTGCAGCTGGGTCAGAGAGACCCAGAACTTCCAAAAGAAGGCCCAAGGCCTCACATCAGCTTGCATTGCTTCACAGCTGGGCCTCATCTGGGCACCTCCAAATCCCAAACAAAGAAGAGGAATCTGCAGATATCTCCGTAGCTCCTGCTGGGTAGCCTCAGGCAGAGGCTAAATTAGCACCTCCTTAGAGATCCAAGAGCCAGTGTACCCAGTGGTCAGAGTGGGACCATCCAGATTACAACTCCTCACATCCATAAGGGACACACACAGGAGGCAGACTCAGTGAGCACCAAAGCCCCACTGAAGCAAGTCTTGCCCCAGGAGGGTGTCTCCAGCACAGAAGTTCTCCCACTGCAGACACAGCTGATTCTCATAGCCGATTGGCCTGGAGGTCAATTCCTCCCAGTGATACCTTCAACAATCAAGGATTAACTGCAACAAGACTGTGCACAAAGCCCACAAAGGGGTGCACTGAGAGTGTCCACCTCAGGTAATTGGGGAGGCTGAGCCACTGGGCCCTATAGGACACCTAGCACACACAGCCACTCTATCAACACAGGGAAGCATAACAAATGCGGAGACCAAGAAACAGGTCACTAATGACAGAAATGGAGGAAAGCAAAGTACTGGATATAGAGTTCAAAACCACACTTATAAGGTTTTTCAAGAATTTTCTAGAAACCGCTGATAAATTTAGTAACTCCCTCAATAAGTCTAGTCAGACCGCTGATAAGTTTAGTAAGACTCTCAAGAAATCTAGTGAGACCCTTGAGGTTATGAACAAGGACCAACTCGAAATTAAGCATACACTGACTGAAATAAAAAATATTATACAGAGTTCCAACAGCAGACTAGAGGATCGCAAGGATCAAGTCAAAGATTCGAAATACAAAGAAGCAAAAATCACCAAACCGGAAAAACAAAAAGAAAAAAGAATCCAAAAATATGAAGACAGTTTAAGGAGCCTGTGGGACAACTTCAAGCATACCAACATCCGAATTATGGGGGTGCCAGAAGAAGAGAGAGAGCAAGATATTGAAAACCTATTTGAGGAAATAATGACAGAAAACTTCCCCTACCTGGTGAAAGAAATAGACTTACAAGTCCAGGAAGCGCAGAGAACCCCAAACAAAAGGAATCCAAAGAGGACCACACCAAGACACATTATAATTAAAATGCCAAGTGCAAAAGACAAAGAGAGAATCTTAAAAGCAGCAAGAGAAAAACAGTCAGTTACCTACAAGGGAGTACCCATACAACTGTCAGCTGATTTCTCAACAGAAACTTTGCAGGCCAGAAGGGAGTGGCAAGAAATATTCAAAGTGATGAATAGCAAGAACCTACAACCAAGATTACTTTATCCAGCAAAGCTATCATTCAGAATTGAAGGTCAGATAAAGAGCTTCACAGATAAGAAAAAGCTAAAGGAGTTCATCACCACCAAACCAGGATTATATGAAATGCTGAAAGGTATCCTTTAAGAAGAGGAAGAAGAAGAAAAAGGTAAAGATACAAATTATGAACAACAAATACACATCTATCAACAAGTGAATCTAAATATCAAGTGAATAAATAATCTGATGAACAGAATAAACTGGTGAATATAATAGAATCAGGGACATAGAAAGGGAGTAGACTGACTATTCTCGGGGGCGGGGGGGAGAGACTAGACAAAAATCGTACACCTATGGATGAGGCTAGTGGGGGGAGGGGTAAGGGCAGAGGGTGGGGTGGGAACCAGGTGGGTGGGAACTATGGGGGGAAAAAAGAGAAACAACTGTAATAATCTGAACAATAAAGATTTAATTAAAAACACACACACACACACACACAAAACCTCTAAAAAAATTTAAACCACCTAAATATCTTGAAAAACTAGTTAAATAAGTATGATACATTCATGCAATAAAAGATTGTGTAGCTGTATAAAATATGTGCTCGAGACACTGATACGTGAAGATATCCAACATGCATGTTGTTACCATGTTTTTACAGAAAAGGAGGGGTGGGGTGCAGTCCCGGTCCTCACCCCAGGACCGCCTCCTGTCGCCCCTCCAGTGCACACACGTACAGGGTTCAGAGGAATCCGAAATTGCTCCACATGGCTGGAAGGGAAATGTTTCAAAGTATATTATTCTATACCTTCAGATTTTGAAACAAGCAAATGTGCAAAGAAATAAAAAAGGAACAATTTTTAAGAGTACAACGGAGCTCTCTCATTTGTGTGCGATGTATTTCACATAGCTTCGGGAGCACTTATGCACCACTGATCCCAGGCAGCCACCTGCGCAAGCGACCGTTTACTGTGTGCTCGAAGCTTCACCAGGGGCACATGTTAACTCGTGTGCACAGCCCTGTGGTCGCAGGGTGCCACCGATATGCTGACACTCATCTTGGCTGATCTCAGGGGGTAAGGGAAACACTCCCATCCCACATCTCTTTCCCTGTGACACTGAGGACTCAGAGAGAGAGCCAGGCTGTGGGACACGTGAGGGGGCCAGGCTGTGGGACATGAGGGAGCCAGGCTGTGGGACATGAGGGAGCCAGGCTGTGGGACACGTGAGGGGGCCAGGCTGTGGGACATGAGGGGGCCAGGCTGTGGGACACGTGAGGGGGCCAGGCTGTGGGACATGAGGGAGCCAGGCTGTGGGACATGAGGGAGCCAGGCTGTGGGACACGTGAGGGGGCCAGGCTGTGGGACACGTGAGGGGGCCAGGCTGTGGGACGTGTCTGTTCTGGCTTTGGCTATGCTGACACCTACTAACCTTGCTAACCTCCCATGCTTGCCTCTCTGAGCACAGGTGGCTATCAACTCCTGACGTTCAACTTGCATGGGATCAGAAAGAGGCACCTCAAGTGGTGTGTGGATTGTTTTGACCTAAAGGCAACCAAGATCCTGTGGTCTCGTGAAACTTCTGTCCTCATTAACTGCCTAGAAGATTTTAAATTAGGGGCCATGTCTATGCTAACAGATTATCAAAGATAACCCTTTCACCTTCCTATAGGGCAGGGCAAGCTTCTAGTTACTGACCCCTGCCACACCCCTTGACGCCCCGGCCTCCCTAGCCCTAGCCCGAGCTCGGAATGTCAGCAGCATCTCATTTTACCTTTCTGTCCTGAGCCCCTCCGGCCTGGGGGCCTCTGGCTCTCATGTGTCGGGGTTCCCGTGCACACATATGTAATTAAGTTGGCCATGTTCTCTTGCTGTCTTTTCATGTCTATGTGACCATCGGGCCAGTGGGAAGAACCGTGGGGTAGAGGAAGTCCCCTCCCTGCAAGGCCACCGCTGTCCCAACCTTCCTGACCGTCCTTAGGGGGCAGGAAGCTAACTAAGCGGAGGGGCTGCTCTACGTGGGACACGAGGCCTGGACCTGGGTTTGCAGAGGAGGAAAGGACGTTAGCCGGGAGGAGGACGGCGGCAGTTAGTCATGAGGCATCAGAACGAGGGAACGAAGGCTCAAGGTTCCTTCCTTTTTAAAAGGCCAACAATGATCCCGCCCCCTTGGCTAATACTGGGAGAACAGGGGGTAGGAGAGACATGGTAAGGCGCTCCCTGAGGTCCAGGGAGTGAGCGGTCCGACCCCAGCTGGTCAGATCCTAGGAGCCCCTTCAAAGGCTGGGTCACTGGGAGGGAGGCTGGTGCCAGGCAGCCTCCTCTCTGTAGCTCAGGGGGTGGGCAGGCCAACCCTGTCATCGCCTGGGTCTGTGGCCCTTTGTGTGAGTGCCTGGCCAGGATGACGTGGGGCACAGCTGCAGGAGGAGGGGAGGCGGAGTGCTGCCCTCCTTCTGTCCCAGGCGTCTTCAGTGGTGGGACAGGCCAGGGCCTCTGCTGGGCCGTCCCTGCTGGGGCTCTGTGTCCCCGGAGAGTGAAGATGGCAAGTTTCTGGAGCTCCTCTCTGTCCAGCCGCCTCCCCTTCTTCCTGCTGCTCCTCCAGTCACCTTCTAGCCACGCAGGTAAGGCTGATCTTGATCCCTGCCGGAGAGAAAGGCTGGTTTCCTAGGCTAGCCTCCTTTCACTCATCCCCAAGTTACTACGCAGTAACTATTATCTTTCTGAAACACAGATGTCCGACATTGGTCCCCTCCTCAGAAAACATCTGTGCTTTCCTACAGTTTTCGGAATAGAGCCCCGCCTCCTTGCCATGAACTTCACCCTGACTCTGGCCTCAGGCTTACCAGCTGCTTAGCTTTGGTTTCTCACCCAACAAATAGGGACCTGATAGTAACAGCCTCTTGGAGTGGCTGTCAGGGTCCGTGCGTGAGACGAAGTCCATGACAGCTTCGTAGTCCCGATCCCAAAACACCGCCGTCAGTCAGTGCGGGCGGGTGTAGCATCGCGGGGTCAGTGCGGGTGGGAGTAGCATCGCGGGGTCAGTGCGGGCGGGAGTAGCATCGCGGGGTCAGTGCGGGCGGGAGTAGCATCGCGGGGTCAGTGCGGGCGGGAGTAGCATCGCGGGGTCAGTGCGGGCGGGAGTAGCATCGCGGGGTCAGTGCGGGCGGGAGTAGCATCGCGGGGTCAGTGCGGGCGGGAGTAGCATCGCGGGGTCAGTGCGGGCGGGAGTAGCATCGCGGGGTCAGTGCGGGCGGGAGTAGCATCGCGGGGTCAGTGCGGGCGGGAGTAGCATCGCGGGGTCAGTGCGGGCGGGAGTAGCATCGTATCAGGTTTGAGCGCTCCGCCACGGCCAGGAGCTGGTGAGTTTCTGTCGAGGAGCCCTGTGCTCACGTCCTGGGGAGAAAGAAAAGAAACAGGAGACCCCACTCCTTGTCCTCCCGGGAACCTTGCAGTGAACAGGGCTCCCACCTCCCAGCGGCTCCGATTCCAACGGGGAGACGCGCTTGCGCTTCCTGTGGGAACAGGCCAGGCGCCCGCACCCCCCCCCCACCCCACCCCCGTTGGGATCCGAGGAGACTGGAAGCAGCACCTGCGGTGCCAGGTCTGTGGGGGCTGCGGGCAGCGGCAGCGGCAGCGGCGGGGAGGGCGGGCAGGGCCTCCCGCGGGGAGCCTGGCCAAGTCCGAGCGGGAGGCCCACGGAGAGCTGGAGTGCGGTGCTGACGGCGGGGCTGAGGACCCGGACACAGCCGCCCTGAGGCCGCAGGCTGGGCCCGCCCGCCGGGCCTCGCCAGCTCTGCAGCCAGGGCCGTTCACTCCCAGGATGTCCAAGAAGAAGGGAGCGCGTGCCTGTTTCAGACGCCATTCAAACGCCTGTCCAACCCCCTGTGAGCGCCGGTCCTGCCGGGCTCACCGCCCTGACGCGCTGGTGTCCCGCACAGGACCGTTCCGAGTGGAGGGCCCGGGGCGCCCCGTGCGCGCCCTGGTGGGGCACCCCGTGGAGCTGCCGTGCCGCCTGGTTCCCGCGAGGAACGCCAGCGCCATGGAGGTGGGCTGGTACCGGCCCCCCTTCTCCCGGGTGGTGCACCTCTACCGCGGCGGCCAGGACCAGGCGGAGGAGCAGGCGCCCGAGTACCGCGGCCGCACCGAGCTGCTGCGGGGCGCCGTGGCCGAGGGCAAGGTGGCGCTGCGCATCCACCGCGTGCGCTTCTCCGACGAGGGCGGCTTCACCTGCTTCTTCCGAGACCACGGGCAGCAGGAGGAGGCGGCGCTGGAGCTGAAGGTGGAAGGTGGGTGCCCCCGCCACGCACCTGCCTGGCAGGCCCTCCGGCTTTTCTTTCTTTCTTTCTTTCTTTCTTTCTTTCTTTCTTTCTTTCTTTCTTTCTTTCTTTCTTCTTTCTTTCTTATTAAATCTTTATTGTTCAGATTATTACAGTTGTTCCTCTTCCCCCCCCCCCCCATAGCTCCCCTTTACCCGGTTCCCACCCCACCGTCTGCCCTTACCCCGCCCCCCACTGTCCTCATCCATAGGTGTACAATTTTTGTCCAGTCTCTTCCCTCCCCCCCCTCCCCCCTCTCCCCCCTCTGAGAATAGTCCACTCCCTTTCTATGTCCCTGATTCTATTATAATCACCAGTTCATTCTGTTCATCAGATTATTTATTCACTTGATTCTTAGATTCACTTGTTGATAGATGTGTATTTGTTGTTCATAATTTGTATCTTTACCTTTTTCTTCTTCTTCCTCTTCTTAAAGGATACCTTTCAGCATTTCATATAATCCTGGTTTGGTGGTGATGAACTCCTTTAGCTTTTTCTTATCTGTGAAGCTCTTTACCTGACCTTCAATTCTGAATGATAGCTTTGCTGGATAAAGTAATCTTGGTTGTAGGTTCTTGCTATTCATCACTTTGAATATTTCTTGCCACTCCCTTCTGGCCTGCAAAGTTTCTGTTGAGAAATCAGCTGACAGTCGTATGGGTACTCCCTTGTAGGTAACTGACTGTTTTTCTCTTGCTGCTTTTAAGATTCTCTCTTTGTCTTTTGCACTTGGCATTTTAATTATAATGTGTCTTGGTGTGGTCCTCTTTGGATTCCTTTTGTTTGGGGTTCTCTGCGCTTCCTGGACTTGTAAGTCTATTTCTTTCACCAGGTAGGGGAAGTTTTCTGTCATTATTTCCTCAAATAGGTTTTCAATATCTTGCTCTCTCTCTTCTTCTGGCACCCCCATAATTCGGATGTTGGTATGCTTGAAGTTGTCCCAGAGGCTGCTTACACTATCTTCACATTTTTGGATTCTTTTTTCTTTTTGTTTTTCCGGTTTGGTGATTTTTGCTTCTTTGTATTTCGAATCTTTGACTTGATCCTTGCGATCCTCTAGTCTGCTGTGGAACTCTGTATAATATTCTTTATTTCAGTCAGTGTATGCTTAATTTCGAGTTGGTCCTTGTTCATAACCTCAAGGGTCTCACTAGATTTCTTGAGAGTCTTACTAAACTTATCAGCGGTCTGACTAGACTTATTGAGGGAGTTACTAAATTTATCAGCGGTTTCTAGAAAATTCTTGAAAAACCTTATAAGTGTGGTTTTGAACTCTATATCCAGTACTTTGCTTTCCTCCATTTCTGTCATTTGTGACCTGTTTCTTGGTCTCCGCATTTGTTATGCTTCCCTGTGTTGATAGAGTGGCTGTGTGCTAGGTGTCCTATAGGGCCCAGTGGCTCAGCCTCCCCAATTACCTGAGGTGGACACTCTCAGTGCACCCCTTTGTGGGCTTTGTGCACAGTCTTGTTGCAGTTAATCCTTGATTGTTGAAGGTATCACTGGGAGGAATTGACCTCCAGGCCAATCGGCTATGAGAATCAGCTGTGTCTGCAGTGGGAGAACTTCTGTGCTGGAGACACCCTCCTGGGGCAAGACTTGCTTCAGTGGGGCTTTGGTGCTCACTGAGTCTGCCTCCTGTGTGTGTCCCTTATGGATGTGAGGAGTTGTAATCTGGATGGTCCCACTCTGACCACTGGGTACACTGGCTCTTGGATCTCTAAGGAGGTGCTAATTTAGCCTCTGCCTGAGGCTACCCAGCAGGAGCTACGGAGATATCTGCAGATTCCTCTTCTTTGTTTGGGATTTGGAGGTGCCCAGATGAGGCCCAGCTGTGAAGCAATGCAAGCTGATGTGGGGCCTTGGGCCTTCTTTTGGAAGTTCTGGGTCTCTCTGACCCAGCTGCAGTTTGTTAGGTAATTTTCAGATTGCAAAGGGCCAGGCCTTTCATATGCAAAAGCTTCTGCTCACAGCTTGGGTGGGGCAGGGTCTCAGGGGATCAACAGGGCGAAGCAAGCAGCTATGGCTGATCCTCAGCCCTGCCTTAAGAGGCCCCAGGTCTCAGTGTCCCAGTAACCACTGCAAGCACTTCTGAGAGAAAGCCGCCCTCGAGTTCCGCCCGATGCCAGACAGTCCAGTTTCTTTCTCTATGAGTCCTGGGTCCCCAGAGACTTCCCGGAACTGGAGTTCAGAGCAGTTGGGAGCTTGTGACTCCCTCCCGATTGAAAAAGACAGCCACGTCCTCAGTTGCCAGCCCTTTCCACGTGCGCCTCCATACCTCTGCACTTTACTTCTGCGCCTCCTCTGAGTCTCAGTGTGCTTTTCTCTTTCCTTCTAGTTGTAAAATTTCCATTCAGCCAGCCTTCCTGTGGTTCTGGATGATGTCTGTTTTGTCTTTTAGTTGTATTTTTGAAGTGGTTGTGTGAGCAGCAATTTCCGGTGTTTACCTATGCCGCCATCTTGGTTTCTCCTCTGGCTTTTCTTTCTTTTTAAAATATATTTGTACTGATTTCAGAGAGGAAGGGAGAGGGAGAGAGGGAGAAACATCCGTGATGAGAGAATCGTGGATCGGCTGCCTCCTGCGTGCCTGCACTGGCCGAACTGGCTTGTGCCCTGACCGGAATCGAACCCTGACCCTTGGTCCAGGCTCAGCCGCTGAGCCCGGGACCTGTGGCTTTCATCATCCTTGGGCCAGAGATGAGCACCTTCAACCCCACTTCACCCTCCCGGGCGTCGCTTCCACAGGCGCATCTGGTCCTCAGGGCAGCCAGCCCACAGCATGCAAGTGCCTGGCTCAGCGGTGCTCCTCCGGGAGCACCTGCGGCCAGTGAAGGGCTGTTTGGGCGATGGCAGATGGCTTGGAGGCATTCCGCAAGTACTGCTGAGTGATGAAAGCAAGCTACACTTGCCTGGCAGGGAACACAGTGGTTAGAGCGTTGGCCTGCAGACCAGAGGCTCTCCGGTTCCACCCCAGGTCAAGGGCATGTACCTCCCTGCAGGTTCCTAGCCTAGGCAGGGGCACATGTGGGCGGCAACGAGTTCATGAGTCTCTCTCATACAATGTTTCTCTCTCTCTCCCCTTGCTTCCTCCCTCCCACTCTCTCTAGAAATCAATGGAAAAAATACCCTCAGGTGAGGGTTTTTTTTAAAAAAGCAAGCTACACAATGACACAATGTAGAGAACAAAAACTAAACCTTATGTTTGTGAATATATTATGTATATCTCAGAAAAATATGAAAAGGGATCTGTAAGAAAGTTAGTGTGGTTCACTTTGGGGGCGCAGAGAGGAGAATGGGGTGTGACCCACCACAGAGCATGAAAGAAAAGATCATAATTACCCATGTGACCTTCCTGTAAAAGCACATGTACGTGTACATTTGTGTACATAATGTAACATGTACATTTGTGTACATATAAAGAACAGATATGTAAGAAACAAAAATCAAAATAGAAAAAAAGAGATCAATGGAAGCAATAAAATCTGAAATAATCAATTTCTGATTAGTTTGTGCTACTAGAACAGCAGTTCTCAACCTGTGGGTCGCGACCCCTTTGGGGGTCAAATGACCCTTTTACAGGGGTCGCCTAAGACCATCGGAAAACACATATATAATTACATATTGTTTTGTGATTAATAACTATGCTTTAATTGTGTTCAATTTGTAACAATGAAATTGGGGGTCACCACAACATGAGGAACTGTATTAAAGGGTCGCGGCATTAGGAAGGTTGAGAACCACTGTACTAGAAGATAATATGAATAATCTGAAAGTTAATCAAAGTGTGCAAGGGGACTTTTTTCCTTCTTGTTGCTTTGGGATTATCTTCTGTTTGTTTGTTATAAACAAGGGGATCATTCCTAAAAGAGGCAAATTGACCAAATCCTATTACAATGAAAAGTTGATGTGTTTGTGGTGTTTTATTAGGTGAGAAACGTTATTGAACAATATATTCCAGCCCTGGCCGGTTTGGCTCAGTGGATAGAGCATCAACCTGCGGACTGAGGGGTCCTGGGTTTGATTCCAGTCAAGGCCACATGGCCAGGTTGCGGGCTCGATCTCCAGTGGGAGCGTGCAGGAGGCAGCTGATCAATGATTCTCTCGCATCATTGATGTTTCTATCTTTCTCTCCCCTCTTCCTTCCTCCTGAAATCAATAAAAATGTTAAAATATATATTTCAACATAGTTGAAGTGAGTAAACCGACAAAACAAATGTCTGAATATGTCACCTAGAGTGTTTACTTCCCTACTCCCTTCTCCAGAATTTCATTTTCAGTATGTTTTATGTGATGAATGACAAGTCATTCTTTTTTTTTTAAATCCCAGGATAGTTAGATGTGGGCAAGATGAAGTGGATGAAAGGGAAGCTTTGAAAATTATTTTTTTTTAATTGATTGATCTTTAGAGAGAGAGAGGAAGGGAGAGAGAAACATTGATTTGTTGTTCTACTTATTTCTGCATTTATTGGTTGCTTTTTGTATGTTTCCTGACTAAGGATCAAATCTGCAACCTTAGGGTAGCTGGACAATGTTCTAACCACTGAGCTGCTGGCCAGGGAGAAAATTAATTGCTATTTAATCGAAGCACAAAAATGTTGTGAGGGTGGGAGCCTCCTTTCTCCCCTCCTCCTCCCCACCTGTGGTGAAACACCAGCCAACCCGCCAGACAATAGCCCACTGCAGGCCGGGACCAGGGGTGGCATTGTGTGCGGGATAACAAAGCGCTATTCTAGGGGCGGCTGCAGGAGGTGGAAATAGCTGTGTGTCACAGGATGGTCTTCAGATAGCATTTGTTGTACAAAAAAAAGTAACCTCAAAATGAAAACTGCCAGGGAAGGAAGCTTCCCTCTGGATTGGTTTCCACATTCCAACCTCTTCCTCCTGCCCGCCAAGTCCGGGAGCCAGGAAGCTGGGCGAGGTTAGGGCTCCAGGCAGTGCTATGCCAGTGCAGGTCTCAGATGCCCTCGCCTCCTCCACAGTTTGTTGTCTCTCTGACCTTATTCTTTCCTTGTCATTTCTGTGATTTTAGTAATAGTTGTCTCTAATCCTTTCTTTAAACCCATCATTATGAAACCTTAAAACGTATGCAGAGGTAGAGAGGATAACGGTAATGAGCCTCCAAGGACCCATCACTACCTGCAATAGTTATGACCAAAGGCAAATTGCTTCACCTGACCCCTCGTTACCCCCTTCCGACTGAGTGACCGAGGCAAGTCCTAGGGTGCAGTATCATTTCATTGCTAAATCCTTAAGGATGTGTCATTCAAGTGTAAGAACGCTTGAGGAGGTGGCGGAGGTAGAAGAGAGTAAAGGCGGGACAAACGGTTCTGGGAGGAGCCCTGACCCGGTAGCTCAGCTGGTTGGAGCATCGTCCAGATGTGCCAAGGCTAAGGGCTTGGTCCCCAGTCAGAGCACATACAAGAAGCAACCAATGATGCATGGACAAGTGCAACAGCAAACCAGTACTTCTCTCCTCCCTTCCTTTCTCTCTAAAATCAATCAATACATTTTAACATGGTGATGGAAGGAGACTTGACTTTGGATGGTGAAGCCACAATGCAGTATACACATGATGTATTAGAGAGCTGTACACTTGAAAACCTATATTTTATTGACCAATGTCACCCCAATAAATTCAATGATCACATTTTTAAAAATTAACAAAAATTCCTTAAAGTCATCAATGTCCAGTCTGTGTTCAGATTTTCCTGGTCGCTTCGTAAGTGTATTGTACAGCTGGTTTGTGTGGCTTGAACCCAAACAAGGTCCACACATGGGGTCTGTGCTGTAGTGTTTCCCTCGATCCAGATCTTGCCAATTTCGTCCCTTGCTGTGTAGCAGGGTGCTCTGCCCCCTGCACTTCCTATTGGCTGATGGGTTAGATGCGCAGTCACCTTGTCAGGCACACTCCTGGGAGCGCCGTCCCTGCTGCTTCCATCAGAAGGTCCATAGGCCTCCTGTTCTCTCTCTTGGTTACAAAGAAAACGCTGAACTGTGAGCTTGACAACCATGCTCTGTCGGTACCCAGATAAGAACTTCAAAGTAGACTTTGCAACAATCAAGGCTTAACTACAACAAGACTGCGCACAAAGACCACTAGGGGGTGCACCAAGAAAGCATAAAAAATGTGGAGACAAAGAAACAGGACAAAACTGTCAATGGAGGATATTGAGTTCAGAACCACACTTTTAAGGTCTCTTAAGAACTGTCTAGAAGCTGTCGATAAATGTAGTGAGATCCTCAAGAAATCTAATGAGACCCTTGATGTTATGATAAAGAACCAACTAGAAATTAAGCATACACGGACTGAAATAACGAATACTATACAGACTCCCAACAGCAGACCAGAGGAGCGCAAGAATCAAGTCAATGATTTGAAATGCGAAGAAGCAAAAAACACCCAACCAGAAAAGCAAAATGAAAAAAGAATCCGAAAATACGAAGATAGTGTAAGGAGCCTCTGGGACAGCTTCAAGCGTACCAACATCAGAATTATAGGGGTACCAGAAGATGAGAGAGAGCAAGATATTGAAAACCCATTTGAAGAAATAATGACAGAAAACTTCCCCCACCTGGTGAAAGAAATAGACTTACAGGTCCAGGAAGCGCAGAGAACCCAAAACAAAAGGAACCCAAAGAGGACCACACCAAGACACATCATAATTAAAATGCCAAGAGCAAAAGACAAAGAGAGAATCTTAAAAGCAGCAAGAGAAAGAAACGCAGTTACCTACAAGGGAATACCCATACGACTGTCAGCTGATTTCTCAACAGAAACTTTGCAGGCCAGAAGGGAATGGCAAGAAATATTCAAAGTGATGAATACCAAGAACCTACAACCAAGATTACTTTATCCAGCAAAGCTATCATTCAGAAGTGAAGGCCAGATAAAGAGCTTCACAGATAAGAAAAAGCTAAAGGAGTTCATCACCACCAAACCAGTATTATATGAAATGCTGAAAGGTATCCTTTAAGAAGAGGAAGAAGAAGAAAAAGGTAAAGATACAAATTATGAACAGCAAACATGCATCTACCAACAAGTGAATCTAAGAATCAAGTGAATAAATAATCTGGTGATCATAATAGAATCAGGGACATAGAAAGGGAATGGACTGACTATTCTTGGGGGGAAAGGGGTGTGGGAGATGCGGGAAGAGACTGGACAAATATCGTGCACCTATGGATGAGGACAGTGGGTGGGGAGTGAGGGCGGAGGGTGGGGCGGGAACTGGGAGGAGGGGAGTTATGGGGGGAAAAAAGAGGAACAAATGTAATAATCTGAACTATAAAGATTTAATTTAAAAAAAAAGAATAATTCCTGTTTATAGAGTGTTTACTGTGTAACAGGTAAGAAAAAAACAAAACAAAAAAAACCCCAAAAAACAAAGTAGACTTTGCTGTATTTTCTTCTACGGTTGTATTTATACCTACGAATCCCTCCTGACCCATTTATTTATTTTTTAGATGAACTTCTTTATTATTGATTTGAGAGAGAGGAAGAGAAAGCGAAACATCGATTTGTTGCTCCACTGCGTCATGCATTCATTGATTGTTTCTTGTATATGCCCTGACCGGATCTCGAACCCGCAACCTTGGTGTATGTGGATGGGCTAGTAGGCCAGGGCCCTCCTGACCAGTTTAGTGTTGCTTGTTGTGACTTAATTCCTAACGAGAATGGCAGTGTCTTTATCCAGCCCTCTAAGGCAGAGAGCAAGGTACGGGCTGGCGGAAGCATGGCACATGGAGCCTGGACAGGCGGCGCGTGGGCACTGCCCAGCAGACTCTCGAATGGGAAAGCGGTGGAGCCGGAGCGCTGAGTCCCTCCCTCACTCCGCTCCCCTCCACACGCTCAGGCACAAGTCCTGTGGGTCCTCCTGTCTCCAAGCTCCAGAAAAGGGATTCCTAAGCGGCGTGCGCATGGAGCCCTCCGGCAGCCTGGGCAGGTGATGGCCCTTCTCGGAGAACGACGTAAATGCATAAAATAAAACACATCAGCCTGAGACAGTGAACAACATAACAAGATATGGGATGGCCCTGATAATGAGTGTAATTTCAAACTAATGAGGGACATAAGTGATACTTTGAGATTTCTGCAACAACTCCATATGACATGAAGGTATTTGTGGTTTTTATTGATGACAAAGTCACAGGTTCTGCGTGTATTGCTTACAAACATAGTAGAAAGAAACACTACATTTGGTTTCAGTGTTACTGAAAATACATACGTATCCTTTTCCCTATGTGAGTTCACAGCCCTTTGAACTTCTCCACCTCCATCATGGCCCAGTGCCAGCTCCTGTCCTTTTCATTGTCCCCGCTACCATGACCTCTGAACTGCCCACCCGACTCTCCTCTGCTCTATGGTCTCAGCTCAGGCCTGTCCCTGAGGGGCGGGCCCTCCGCCACCCTGGCGGCCTCAGCATCCCTTAGCTGGTTCTCAAAACTCCCCAAGATTTGCCCAACCTGCAGCCTTGAGTGCTGCTGTTCCAAGCTCTAGCCTCTCCTTCAAGACTAAGCTCAGGTGTCAATTCTGTGCTGCCTTCTCTGAGCCTCAGTTATGTTCATTGCCTCACTCACTTCACTGTGGAGCGGGCAGCCTGGTGCGGGGTGCCAGCTGGCTGGCCTGTGCTCCCAGCAGATCCTCCCTCTGGGTGGGCCTGTGCTCCCTGCAGATCCTCCCTCTGGGTGGGCCTGTGCTCCCTGCAGATCCTCCCTCTGGGTGGGCCTGTGTTCCCTCCAGATCCTCCCTCTGGGTGGGCCTGTGCTCCAGCAGATCCTCCCTCTGGGTGGGCCTGTGCTCCCTGCAGATCCTCCCTCTGGGTGGGCCTGTGCTCCCTCCAGATCCTCCCTCTGGGTGGGCCTGTGCTCCCTGCAGATCCTCCCTCTGGGTGGGCCTGTGTTCCCTCCAGATCCTCCCTCTGGTGGGCCTGTGCTCCCTGCAGATCCTCCCTCTGGGTGGGCCCTGTGTGTTCCCTCCAGATCTCCTCTGGGTGGGCTGTGCTCCCTGCAGATCCTCCCTCTGGGTGGGCCTGTGTTCCCTCCAGATCCTCCCTCTGGGTGGGCCTGTGTTCCCTCCAGATCCTCCCTCTGGGTGGGCCTGTGCTCCCTGCAGATCCTCCCACTGAGTGGGCCTGTGCTCCCTGCAGATCCTCCCTCTGGGTGGGCCTGTGCTCCCTGCAGATCCTCCCTCTGGGTGGGCCTGTGCTCCCTGCAGATCCTCCCTCTGGGTGGGCTTGTGCTCCCAGCAGATCCTCCCACTGAGTGGGCCTGTGCTCTCTTCCAGATCCCTTCCACTGGGTGGGGCCGGGCGCGCTGGCCGGCCTGGCGGTGCTGCCCCTGCTCCTGCTGCAGCTGGTGGCCGGCCTGCTCTTCCTGGGCCTGCAGCGCAGGCTGAGAGGTACGCCCCGCGGCACAGTGCCTTCCCAGCATGAGCCATGAGCCGGCTCCCAGCGCTTCCTTCCAATGCTCCTGGGTTCAGAACCCCGCGCCAGGCTCACGCAGCAGAGCGCTTGTCAGGCCGCAGACCCTTGCACCCTGAGGTGGGCTTGCAGATGAGGCAGCCGAGGCAGGAGCGGGTCTACGTGCCTGGAAGCCTGTGCGGGGAGCTCAACCCGAGCCGTGCTGGGCCCCGGCCCAGGGAGCATTCACACGCAGGGAATGAGCTTGGGTCGCGCAAGGCTGGGCTCTAAGGGGAATACAAACACACGCAGTAGGTATTCAAAAACCCCGTCCTCCATCTCCATTCAACGCCAAGGACTGGGTTTTGCGGGAAATGGAGTTCCGCTTTTGCGCCCACACTCTCCTTTCCTGCCCCCCCGCCCCCGCCCCTCCCCCCACGTTCTCAGAGGCAAAGCCGCAGGACCTGCTTTTTCCACGCCCGCTCCCAAGAGGATGGCAGCGAGAAGGGCTTTGCGGGGAGTGGGTGTTGGTGGCATAAAAAATGGGGGCTTTTTCTCTCCTTGAATTCATCCCCCATTAGCAAGACCTTAAGTCCACAGGCTGAGCAGAGAGAACCTGATGGCTCCGCGGGCCTGCGTCCAGCTCCGCTGACCCTCCGGGCTCAGGGCCCCACCTGTCAGGCAGCGCCAACGCCCTCCCCTCAGGTGTAAGGAGGGACTAAGGGGTAATGTTATGTGAAGTGCCTGGTGCGCAGCAGCTGCTCCGCCAAGTGTTCAGTCCCTCCCTTCCTGTCAGATGGGACGCGGCTTGACACTCACACAGTGGCCCCAGCGGCCGGGAGGCCTGTGAACTGACAACAGGCCTGCTCTTCCTGGGCGGAGCAGGGGACGGTGATCAAATCTTGTTGGCCTGGGGCTTTGCTGTCCACCGAGGTTCCCCGCATTCTTTATCCCAGTTTTTTAATTGTTTTATTGCTTAAAGTATTACACAGAGTATTCTATATGTCTCCTTTTTTTTTCTCCCCTTGACCCTCCCCTAGCCTCCCATGCGCCCCAGTGTCTTGTGTCCATTGGTTATGCTCGTATGCGTGCATACAAGTCCTTCGGTTGATCTCTTACCCCCCTCCCACCCCCCAACCCTTCCCAGCCTTCCCGCTGTAGTTTGACAGTTTTTAATCCAGACAATAGCCAAGTAAAGAGCCCGGCTCTCCACTCCAAGCCCAGCGGCTCTTCCCACCAAAGCAGGCCGGTGTGCGCCAGCCCAGGGACTGATTGTGTTGCCTTTTTCCATTTTAGGAAAACTTCGAGCAGAGATAGGTGAGTTTCAGTTACCTTCCCTCCTCCTCCCCACCCTTCTGGTTTTGGCCTCACCAAAATGGTCGCTCTCTCAGAACAACTTTGCCAATCCCTGAGTTCCCTTTAAAACTCCCAAAGCAGCCCAAACTGACAGAACATTCATTCCTCTTGCTGCTGTGAGCCAGGATAGGCACCAACCCGCAGCTTCCCTCCCTCCCTCCGTCTGTCTGTCGGGTGTCCCTGTCAGGTAGAAAGAACTTTAGGTGATTTAAAAAACACAGGCCCAGAGGAGGCAGTGTGGCCTCGCAGGCCTTCTAAGTGCCTCTCCCTGTTCTTTTCAGAGAGCCTTCACAGGACCTTTGGTAAGTGCTGGGGTACAGGCCCTGGGTCAGCTATGTCCCTCGGGCCCGGGCACCTGGCCAGGGCAGGACCCTGGCTCCTATGGGTTTCCTCTTGCCTTTTCTTTGAATAAGCACCTGCACCCAGGACGGGCGAGATGGCTGCGAGTGCGGGCACTTGCGCTGAGGCACTGCTGCTCGCTCCGCAGGGCTCACACCACATGCTCGTCATCCTCTTCTCAGGAAGCAGAGGGGGGCAAACGGGACCTTTGCACAAATACTCGCTGTCTAGCGGGGAAGTGCCACCCATACATGGAGAACCAAGGACACGTGTCACCAGCTGAACCCACGCGGTGGCATGTTCCTGAGTACAGGAGTACAACTACATGACTAACCCCGGGGGGCTTCTTGGAGGAAGAGTGAAGATACCATGCCCCACTAAAATGCTGTTCAGGTCTAATTATGTCATTTCAAAATACTGATAAAAATAAGTAGTATTTTGAGACTTCTGCAACATGTTAAGAAACCCCATACAATATGGGGGGGGGGGGGCCGTGGCATGGGGAGCCCCATTAACCCTGTTTGTTCTTGGTGGACAATTCAGATCCTCACTTTCTGAGGGTGCCCTGCTGGAAGGTGACCCTGTTTGTCATTGTGCCGGTGCTCGGACCCCTGGCCGCCTTGGTCATCTGCTACAACTGGCTGCACCGAAGACTAGCAGGTGCAGGGGTGGGGTGCAAACAGGCCACGGAGCAGGGGGCGGAAAGATGAACCAGGGCTCCAGATGCTGGGGTCTCCCTCTCTGTCCCCAGGGCCAGCCGGGCTCCTCAGGGAATCCGTGGGTCCCTCAGTGGGAAGGGGGTGCGTCCCTGCAGAGCTGCACAGGGAGGCGCGGGCGGAGCTGGTCACCTCCCACCAGTCACCTACTTCTCTTTGTTTTCAGGGCAATTTCTTGAAGAACTAAGTAAGTTCTTTCCTCCTTCTTATAAGCTGAAAACAAAAAACAGGAAAGCAGCAAAAGAGGGGGGCCATGAGCCATGGAAAGGCCAGAGGAAATGGGGGCTGGGCTGCACGGGTGAGGGCACTCTGTGAGGTAGCAGCCGTCTTGCCAGCTGGACAGGTGGCAGGGAAGGAAGGGGGGCACCACCTCGTAGGCACAGACCCCACTCCTTCCCCTTCCGAGGGCAGCTGCCTGCCTCAGCTCAAGGCCCTCAGAGACAGGCCCAGGCGGGGCAGCCCAGAGGGCCTTTCCTCTCCCGGGTTAGATGGTTTCATGGAAGAAACTACTGACAGATTTTTCAAGTTGTTTTCTTCTCTTAGGAAACCCCTTCTGAGTGAAGGTGCGCGTTGGCAGAAGTGGAGGAGAGCCTGGCGGGGCCAAGGGTTGGTCCTGGGGTGTTGCATCCATCAAGGCCTCTTGGCTGTGGGCGCCTCCCACCCTGCACTTCCAGGAACGCTCTAAACTCCAAACAGGATTGATTTCTCTTTTGTTTGTTTGTTAATTTTTTAAGGAAAGGAGAAGCGCCATTTGTCGTTCCACCTTATCTACACACCCATTTGTTTCTCTTGTCATCTACTTTTTCCCAGCTCTGTCTTTCCTGTTTTTGTACCTACGTCTTTCTTTTTAAAAAAAAAATATATATTTTATTGATTTCAGAGAGGAAGGGAGAGGGAGAGATGGAAACATCAATGATGAGAGAGAACCATTGATTGGCTGCCTCCTGCACAACTTCTACTGGGGATCGAGCCCACAACCTGGGCATGTGCCCTTGACCGGAATTGAATCCGGGACCCCTCCGTCTGCAGGCCGACGCTCTATCCACTGAGCCAAACCAGCCAGGGCTGTACCTACATCTTTCCACCTCCTGCCTCCCACCCGGAAGTCCGCAGGCACTGGGCCTCAGAGGGCACCTGTGCTGCACCAGCGCCCCGCGGCCTCTGACCCTCCCCCGCCCCCCAGCATGCCGACCTGCAATGACCTGTCCCAACGGCTGAGTGGAGGGTGGAAGGGAAGGAACATGAGTCCAAAACAGCAAAGAGCAGAGGGCGCTGCAGAGTGAGGACACAGGGAGAGAGCCAGCGCCTGGCGGAGCTCCGCCCAGCGGGGCGTCCTGAGGATCAGGGGACAAAGGTGCGGATGGCCGCCCTGCTTTGAGGCCCCCCTGTACTTCCTCGGCCAGCAGAGGGGTCCCTCAGGCTCCCCTCCCGTCCCTTTCCTCCCATGTCCATGCCTATCAGAGTAGCCTCCGTTTCGCTCAACAATTCCTGCTTTATGGTGCGAGACACAAAGAAACAGCTGGTGCGAATAACGCCAAGTTCCCAGGCCACGCCCTGTGCCTCTTCCTCCCGCCCCAGCCTCCGCCCCAGTCCGTCCCCAGGAAAACCGAACAGACGAACAGAGGACGTCTGGATCGGAAAGGCCTTTACTCTTGTTCCAGGCCCTCGCCGCCCCGCCTGCTGCTTTTCCTCCGCGTCCCTCCTCCCTTCCTCCCGGGCCACCTCCTGGGGGCCCGGCTCCTCGGAGACCCGCTGCCTTCCCTGCCACAGGGCGGGCGCGGCGAGAGGCCCAGCCACTGGCCCAGGGCCGCCCGGCACAGCCCCTCGCCTTGGTAGCTGCCCCAGTGCCCCACGAGGGCCTCCCGCTCCCCAAAGCAGAGGTCGCAGACGGGGCAGCGGTAGACCTGCTCCCAGCGGGCGCGCTGGTGCCGGCGCAGCGCCGAGGGCGAGCCGAAGGCCTGGCCGCAGCAGAAGCAGCGGCGCGACTGCTCCGCGCGGTGGGCCTCCTGGTGCCTGGAGAGCGAAGCCTTGGCCCCGAGGGTCAGGGGGCAGCGCGGGCAGGGGAAGCCCCTGCGCCCCGGAGGCTTCGGCCGGGCAGCCTGGGGCCGGGTGCTCGGGCCGTGGGGCCCCGGCGCTGGGGCTGTGGCCCCGGGGGCCTGAGCTCTCACCACGAGCACCGGGGTCCTGCCTGCGGGCGGCCGCGGCCCGGCGGCGGCGGGGTCCTCGGCTCTCCGCGTGGCTCGTGGGACCCCGGCGGCTGGCACGGGGCTCCCCGCCGCCGGCCCCGGGGCCAGGTGCGTCCGCTGGTGGCGCTTGAGCTCAGACCGGTCCCGGAAGCACTTGCCACAGCAGGGGCAGGAGTGGGGCCGGTAGCCCAGGTGCACGCGGCGGTGGCGGCTCAGGCCCGAGGCGTCGCAGTAGGTCTTGTCGCAGAGGGAGCAGCGGAAGGGCCTCTCCCCGAGGTGGGTGCGCCGGTGGCAGCTGAGGGCCTTGGGGCTCCGGAAGGACTTCCCGCACTGGCCGCAGCTGTGCGTCCCCTTCAGACTGTGGACGAACTGGTGGTAACGGAGGTTGGAGCGCTGACTGAAGCACCTGCCGCAGACGGGGCAGGGGAAGGGGGGCCCAGCCGCGGGTGCGGGTGCCGGGAGCACTGGGGGCCCGCCCAGGGGCTGCTCCTCGCCTCCTGCCAGGACCGAGGAAGAACAACACAGCAAGACTCACCCTGAGAGCCCGGCCCAGGCCCCTCCCCCGCTTCCCTCCTCGCTCTGCACCCTCCACCCTCCACCCTCCACCCTCAGCAGCACCCAGGGTTTTTCTAATTAACAGCAAGTAAAACCTGAACTGGAATCTTTCAACAATATCAGATTAAAATATTAACTGATAACATCTTTTGAAACCCAATTCCTCTCTTTTTCCTACTGTCATGCCGGCTGGGACACGAGGGAGAGGGGTGCTGCTGAAAATGAAGCTCAGATAGGAGTGCCAGCCGGGCACTGGGCGCCGGGCACTGGGCGCCGGGCCTGGCCTCAGCCTCTCTCACGTCCTCTCACCTCCCAGGAACCAGTCTTCCCCACCCCCTGGGCGTCAAGCCCATCCCTTCCTTTCTTTCCTCCTGCAAGGACTTCAGCAAAGGAGTGCCCCTGACCAGCAGCCACATGCAGCCCCTCAGCCCCTAGAAACTGGAGGCGCTCTGGCCCTGGCGGCTCACAGCCAACTTCCCGAAGCCAAGGCCCCCGGAGGGCGCACCTGCAGGGCGGCCTCCCCCCCGCGGCGGGAGGAGGGCTGCTCTCCACCGCTTCACTTCTTGTTCCAGCTCCGAGACCAGATCCGGATTAGTCAGAGCGGTTCTAGCTGCAGAGTGGGGAGGAAGAGGAGCTGAGGTCCCGGTGCGGCCCCCGCACCCAAAGGGAACAACAGGCTGCTTTTGTGCCCTTGGTTTAAGAACTAGAATCTGGGAAACACAGATGCAGGGGGAGACACTCAAAAGACCAGCTCCTAAGCGCGGGCCCTCGCCCAGCGGCCTGGGAAGCTGGCAGGATGAGGGGACTCTGCTCGCCCTGGGAGCTGTCAGCACTCCACTTTGCGCAGGCTCAGTCCTCTCCTCTCCCTGAGCTTGTGACCCAGATCTCACACCCGAGAACCAGGGGCCAGTCGACCTGCCCAGGGAAGCCAAATGCCCAGGGCCGCGGGACCCGCCTCTTACCCACAGACACCAGGGTTTTGAAGGTCTCGGACATGACGTCCTGGTAGAGGGCCCTCTGACGGGCGTCCAGACACGCCCACTCCTCCGGGGTGAAGCGCACAGCCACGTCCTCCAAGGTGACTGGCTTCTGGAAGAGAGGGGCTCAGGGAGTCTGGACCCAGAGCAGACCCTGGCCTCGTCCAGAAAGCAAAGGGAAAACTAAAACCACAGAAGCAGGGGAAACAGAAAACTCAGGCACAGAGCCAGCAACAGGTACGTACAGACAAGAAAGGAAGGTTGGAGAGGAGGAAGAGAAATATGGGAGCGAACGGAGGGTTTACACAGAAAAGAACCAGAGGAAGCAAGCAGAAAGGCTGCGGCGCTGCCGGCCCTGGAAGCACTCGTGAGGGCGCGGTGCTGCCGCGAAGGCCCTGGGCTCCTCCTGGGTGCGGCTCAGCTTGAAGCAGCCTGAGGTCCCATCTGACCTGCAGACGGGAATGGGCGAAAGCTGCCGGGCCCGGGACGCCCGCCCCAGCTGGTCTCCTCACCTCCGCCCAGGCCTGCCACCAGCATTCCCTCTTCACTGCTGTCCATGGGGCCTCCTGGTCGGGCTTGGGCGTGGGGCCGGTGCCAGTGCCGGTGCCGGGGAACAGCTTCTGCACTTCCATGGTACTTCTTCCTAGCTTTATCCACTCCCGGACTTGCCCTCGGGGCTACCTACCGCCCTGAGGTAGCAGAGCCCGAGGGAGCGGCCTGCAAGGCCCTGGTCGGCTTGGCTTCCTGTGACAGACCATCGGCTCAAGGGCCTTCCTTCGGATCGCACAGCCTCGGCTTCAGAGCTCAGGGACCTGGCCCCCTGGGGGCGGCTGCCACTGTCCAGGAATGCCAGGCTGGGGCTGGGAAGGCGCCTGCCCGTTTCCCCTGCGTCTCACCACCGGCTCGTGCCCACCTCTGGGAGCCTGAGGTCAGAGAGAAACAAACACATCAGCCAGAGGGGAGTGAGAAGCAACAGCTTCCTTATTAGACCACAGGTTACCCACTCCTGCTCTGCGCCCGGGACCTGCAGTGCGGTCCTGCAGGTGACAGCTAACTCACAATTTTAACCCAAAGGCAGAGGTGCTAGTCACTCAAGGACACTCCAGGTCCAAGCCGAGACTGTGGCTCCGACGGTGGGATGCCGGGTCCCAGAGCTCTCAGAGCAGCACAGCCTGCCGAGGGAGCCAGAATGGCCGCGGCAGCACCCGCACCATTCTCCTGATTTTGACCCCGTTTCATTAGAAAATGGGATTAAAGGAGACACTCTCTAAGATCCCATCTAGGAGAAAAAGATGGTTCTTTGGGTTTTAACATATACAGATCTTTGTTAAGAATATAGTGAGCTGGCCAGGTGGCTGAGCATCATCCTGTGCACTGAAGGGTCACTGGTTTCATTCCGGCTCAGGGACATACTGGGTTTCAGGCTGGATTCCTGGTCGGGGCGTGCATGAAAGACAACCAATTGATGTTCCTCTCTCACATCAATGTTTCTCCCTCTCCCTTTTCTCTCTCTCTTTCTCTCTCTCTGGGCATGTCTTCTGGTGAGGATTTTTAAAAAACGAAGCCCTGCTGGTTTGGTTCAGTGGATAAAGCGTCGGCCTGCAGACTGAAGGGTCCCGGTTTCGATTCCTGTCAAGGGAACTGCCTGGGTTTCGGGCTTGATCCCCAGTAGGGGGCGTGCAGGAGGCAGCTGATCAATGATTCTCATCATTGATGTTTCTCTCTCCCTCTCCCTTCCTCTCTGAGACATATATAGAAGAACAGTGATAGCAACCCAACATCAAGCGGGTATCCCGGCTCCCGCTGAGGCAGACCTGGCTGCACTCCCAGGCCTGCTGACAGCAGCACACCCTGTCTCCCCTTGAGATTCGATGAAAAGAATAAAGGCATATAAATCTGTTACTTCTTTCACTTTTTTGAACAAGTGATGGAAGTGAAAACGCCAGCAAGAAAAGGAGCATTTGACAATAGAAGGGAAGAAGTCAGGAAAGGTGCAGTGCTGGGATCGAACTGGAGTCCCTCCCTCTGTGGCTCCTTTCCTCCGAGACGCTGGCGTTTCTACCAGGCGCGGCCCTGCTTGTTCTCTCCGGGCAGCTGTGCCAGGGTTGCCAAACAGGCAATACCGACGCCTTAGTCAGGGGCACTGACCTCTTTTCCTTCAGGTCGTCAAATTTAAAAACCGACAACAGCCAACACAAAGCTGTGCGGTGCGAATGAATTAAAAAATATATATATATTTTGACAAATCAGAAAAAAAAAAAAGGTTTGGTGTGCCACAGAATGAAAAATCGCTGTCCGCTCTCCTGCCGAGCCACACAGGCAGCTTCCCGCAGCAGCATCGGTGCCAGCACCGCAAGGCCTGCCTTCCGGCCCCAAGGCAACACCCACTCCCGCCGCGGGTCCTCCACCCGCCTTCGCCGGGTTCCGGGGCTGGGGGCGGACTGCGGGGCTCGGGGCGGACTGCGGGGCTGGGGGCGGACTGCGGGGCTGGGGGCGGACTGCGGGGCTGGGGGCGGACTGCGGGGCTGGGGGCGGACTGCGAGGCTGGGGGCGGACTGCGGGGCTGGGGGCGGACTGCGGGGCTGGGGCGTGACTGCGGGGCTCGGGCGGGACTGCGGGGCTCGGGGGCGGACTGCGGGCTGGGGGCGGACTGCGGGGCTCGGGGCGGACTGCGGGGCTGGGGGCGGACTGCGGGGCTGGGGGTGGACTGCGGGGCTCGGGGCGGACTGCGGGGCTCGGGGCGGACTGCGGGGCTGGGGGCGGACTGCGGGGCTGGGGGCGGACTGCGGGGCTGGGGGCGGACTGCGGGGCTCCGCGTGGACTGCGGGGCTGGGGGCGGACTGCGGGGCTCGGGGCGGACTGCGGGGCTCGGGGCGGGACTGCGGGGCTGGGGGCGGACTGCGGGGCTTGGGGGGGCGGACTGCGGGGCTGGGGGCGGACTGCGGGGCTGGGGGCGGACTGCGGGGCTGGGGGCGGACTGCGGGGCTCCGCGTGGACTGCGGGGCTGGGGGCGGACTGCGGGGCTGGGGGCGGACTGCGGGGCTGGGGGCGGACTGCGGGCTTCGGGGCGGACTGCGGGGCTCGGGGCGGGAGTGAGGCTGCGGAGCCGCACGCACGGTCTGCACCGGGCTCCCGGGCGCGGAGACCGAAGGCGCAGGCAGAAGGGCCGTCGGGCGCCTGTCCCGCCCTCCAGAACTCCATGCCCGGGTGGAGGAGTCGCCATTTTCCAGGCCTGAGCGCCCCCTCCCCCGTCTCCCTCTAACCCCAAACCCGCCAACGGCTCCCCACGGCACGTGGACTGCCCCCGGCCCCCACCCAGGGCTCCAACCACTTGACTTTCCTGTCCCTCGGCCGAATCAGCCTTCGGGTCTGCTCAAGCCCTCAAGGGCCCTTTCCAGCCCCTGCCCAGCCCGGCCTTGGCCCTGGCCCCTGCGGGTGCGGGTCCGCCCCCAGCACCCCGCGCGCCCAGCGCCCCAGCCCCGCCACCCCAGCCTGCGCTCCCCGCCTGCCCGGGGCCCCCGCAGGGCAGGTGCCTGGACCTCCTGTGCGCTCAGCCCCCGAGACGCCCTTCCCGGGACCCCGCTTTCCCAGCACGTGCCAGGAGGTCCCGGCGCCCGCTCCGCACGGCGGCCACTCCCCCGACCCAGCTGACCGGTCGGAAGCTCCCCCGCCGGCCGCGCTCCGGGGCGGAGCGAGCGGGACAGACCCCTCCGTCGGCTCAGGTCGCGGCGAGCCCACCGCCCCGCGGCCTACTCACCGCCGGGAAGAGCGCCCGGGCCTGCGCGAGCCGCTGCTGCAGTGCTCGCCCCGGAAGGCGGCGACGGGCTCCGCTCCCGGCCCGCCCGCCACCGAGCCGCGGCCCGCCCCGGAGGCTGTGGGCCCGCAGGCGGCGCGCGTCAGTCTAAGAGCCTCAGGGAGACCCGCCCCCAGCCCACCCCTCCCCCCAGCTTACCCGGGTGCCACCCAGCGCCAAGATCTTCCTTATTCCAACCTTAATTTACTCTTAAAATCTCGGATTAAAGCAACCAGCATCGCCTAGAGCCCAGAGAACGAAAACGAGACCGTCACAGCCCCAGGAGGGACGTGGAGGCGCACGGCTGCCTAGACAGGCAGGGGCCGCGAACGCACGCTGGTCACTGCGGAGCCAGGGGCGGGGGGGGGGGGGGGCCGCGCGGAGCCGCGCCGAGGCCGCAGGCCAGCGGGGAGCCAAGGGTCCCCCTCCGCAGCGCGCAGCCTGGGGCGGGGCTGAGGGCTGCAGCATCTCCCGCCTTCCCGACAGGGGTCCCCGCCCACGGGGGCTTCTTACGCTGAGGCGCCAAGGCTAGAAAGTTGAATGCATAGGGCCTGAGCCACCAAAAGCTAAGAGGATAATTAGAGGGAAAAGCCCTCCTCCCTCCCTGTGAGAACCCTGGGTTTGAGCAGGTAGATTGGTCTTTGAGAGGGGAGTCTGCCATTCTCCCAAGTGTCAGCACCTGAATCGGCACCTTTCCTGTGGCGCCAGCACCTGCCTCAGGAATTGGGCTTCTGTTTCAGCAGGCAGCTGAGCCTGCCTTCCAATTACGTGATGAGAGATGGCAGGTGAGGTAGAGAGGACCATGACCAGGTAAAATTCTACTTACCTGGTACCTTACCACTGAGCTGAACCCAATTCAACCTTTCTCGGTGACATCTTATTTAAATCCTCACCCCAGGACATGTTTTCATTGATTTTACACAGAGAGGAAGGGGGAGAGAGAGAGATCAATGTGAAATAGGAACATCTATTGGTTGTCTCCCATTCCCCACCAGACTGAGATCCAACTGCAACCTAGGTATGTGCCCAGACCGAGAATTGAACCTGCAACTTTTTTTAGTGTACGGGAGGATGCTCCAACCAACTGAACCACCTGGCCAGGGCATTTTTTTTTAATCAGCCCAATGAAAATATTTCACATTGGCATTGGATTTTACAGTTTACAAAACACTTTTGTAAATAGAGCCTCCACTAAATCCTCACAAACACCATGGGAGGTAGGAATTGTTATTCCATCTCTATGTTACTGACAAGTTTAGGTTCTTGTCTCCTGATAGAATTTAGACCAGGGACACTGATAAAAGCAAAGGCAGATTTATTGAGGCTCCGCAACACTGAGATAGGGCCGGAACACTGAGATAGGGCCTCAGGTTGTTACCGGAAAGGGATCCTGGGCCTGGCTGGGTCTGCCTGGGGTCGGCTGGTAGTGTGTAAGTTCTTGAATTTGTGCAGGAAAAATTTCACAGCGTGAGTCCAGATGACTGCGAGGGAACATTTATTAAAGCAGGGACAGTGGAACAAGGAAGGGCTTAGCACAGTGGTTCTCAACCTCCCTAATGCCGCGACCCTTTAATACAGTTCCTCATGTTGTGGTGACCCCCAAATTCATTGTTACAAATTGAACATAATTAAAGCATAGTGATTAATCACAAAAACAATATGTAATTATATATGTGTTTTCTGATGGTCTTAGGCGACTCCTGTGAAAGGGTCGTTCGACCTCCCAAGGGGTCGCGACCCACAGGTTGAGAACCGCTGGCTTAGCATAAAAGAAGCAATAGGAGAGCCCAGGCTGGGCTGCCCTAGCTCTCTGGGGAGTCAGAGTAAAAGGGCCTTGGGGTCAGGTTCAGGGGTTAGCCTGGGACGAGCTGCTGCTGCCCATTGCTCCCTGGTTGCAAGTCCCATGGGGTCCCTTAGAGTTTAGGAGATGCGCGCCTCGAGGGAAGGTGGGAAAGAAGAGGGGAAAGGGACTGGTGGGGCTGCTCCCCAGAGGGCAGGCAGGCTCTGGGCCCTTCGTCTTGAGGGTCTCTCTCTCTCTCTCTCTCTCTCTCTCTCTCTCTCTCTCTCTCTCTCTCAGGCGGGAACCTTAGGGGGGCTTCAGGGGAGGGTTCCAGCAGAACATGCATCCGTTTCCAGGTGGGCTCCTCCAGGGTGTGGTCTCCACCGATTGGTCAGGGCCAGGACAGGGCATTGTCAGTCACCGCAGCTGGTCCTGGTGTTGTCCACCTGGTTTTGCTGCTTTTCTGGGCCTGGAGCTGGACTACAACTGAGGCCTCAATGCTGTCTTAGGGAGGGGACCTTCTGCATCTACTATAAATTGCTTTGCAGTTTGTTCAGCTCTCTGCCTCAGTTTCCCTGTTCCACTTGTCCTAGCTCACGGCCTGTCTCAAGGTTCTGTGTCCAGTTGTGGGGCTCGGGTTTTTATGGCTTGAGGACATGGAAGTTGCTGGAGTCAAACAATCAGAGAGTAGGTTAGCAGGTTTGTTTTGGAACACTGATGTCTGGGTATTCCTCAGCAAAGCAACGTGTTCTCAGATTGTGCAGCCCTTACTATGGGGTGCAGGAAGGGACTTTCCCAACTAGGTATTTGTTGGGTCTGATCAAATAATTGAATTGATACCCCCACTCCTGGGAACTGATCTTTAGGTCACTTCACAATGGACATTCCCTTTTGCTTAGACCACATTCCATTTTGCTAAGACCATTATCTTTCCCCTCAGGACCTTCCTAGGATCCAGACCTGCCCAGAGAATTCTCTGCCCAGAATCCTTAAAAACCTCTGATTCCCCGCCCTAAGCGGTTTGGCTCAGTGGATAGAGCGTTGGCCTGCAGACTGAAGGGTCCCAGGTTCGATTCTGGTCAAGGGCATGTACCTTGGTTGCGGGCACATCCCCAGTGGAGAGTGTGCAGGAGGCAGCTGATCGATGTTTCTCTCTCATCGATGTTTTTAGCTCTCTATTCCTCTCCCTTCCTCTCTGTAAAAAGTCAATAAAATATATTAAAAACAAACACAACAACAAAAAAACCCTCTGACTCCCTGTCACTGGGTGCTGGCGCCATTTTGAGGCTCAGCCATCTGGTCTCCAGAGGCCTAACCACTGCTATTTCCTATTTTGAAACCCTGTCTCAGGACCTACAAGAAACCTATGGGTGCCCAGCAAGGGGCAAAACTGGGAAAACAAGAACCTCGCCCCCTGGGTAACCTATTCTCCCCTTTCATATCCCTAGTGAGGCAACTGAGACCCCTAAAGATAGCATCTGGCCTCAGTTGTATTTCAGCTCCAGGCCCAGAAAAGTAGCAAAACTAGATAAGGGACGCTGCGGCAGCCTCAGGGCCAGCTTTTACCTCCCAAGTCACTGGACAGGACCACAGGACGCTCTGGAGCCTTCGCCAACCGGTCTCCCGGGGAAATGATGCAGCTGCATGGCTCGCTCCCCGCAGGAGGAATCTACAGTGTTCCAGCGCCCATCAAAGTCCATCCCGTGATCTCCACGTCCCTCTCAGCAGGAAGCAACTATGGAAGCTATGACCTTCGTCCCTGTGCCATACAACAGAAAGGCTGGCTAGGCCACTTCACAAAGGCATTCCCTTTCGCTCAGACCGCATTCCACTTGCTAAGACCATTATCCTTCCCCTCTGGACCTTCCCAGGATCCGGACCTGCCCAGAGAATTGTCCGCCCAGAAAAGCCCGCCCAGAGTCCTTTAAAACCTCTGACTCCCCGACCCTGGGGGCTGGCGCCATTTGGGGGCTCAGCCCATCTGGTCTCCTGGTGACCTAATAAATTCGTAATTCTTCATCCCTTTGGGCCTCGTGCGTTCCTCCTTCGGAGACCCTAACAGTATTGAGTTTGTCTCTTGGGTTTGTGACTTGGTTTTCAATCTGAAAAACAAACTTAAAAGAAGTCCGAGTGGTTCCTGGACCGCGGCTTACGCCACCGAGTGATGCCTGCCACAGCTGTGACAGGGCTTGACTCAATGGAGCATGTTTTGGGAACATGTGATTCTACCTGTTTTACTCGCAGGTGAGGAAACAGGCCTGAGCGCTGGCGCCTTACCGAACCGGCCCCTCTGCTTTCACGTCACCACACTGGTGTCTGGGCTGCATGCACGGTGCTGGAGGCTGGCTGGTGTGGGTTTCCCACCTCGCAGCGTTCCCGAGGCAAGCGGCCTGCTCAGCTTTACAGACAGACAGTGCATGCTGTGGACTGAGGGCTGGTGGGAAGGTGGCAGGAAAAGCATGAGGTGTAGCAGTGATGTACATTACCACAATCTTCAAACAGGCTGAGGGAGGGGGTGCCAACTATGCATCCCATTTACAGTGAAGAAACTAAATTTGCCCTTTAAAAAAGACAGGACCTGCCCTGGCCGGTGTGGCTCAGTGGATAGAGCATCAGCTGCAGCCCAAAAGGGCCCAGGGTGTGATTCTGGTCAAGGGCACATACCTTGGTTGCAGGCTCCTCCCTGGCCCAGACCCTGGTGGGGGCATGTGCAGGAGGCAACCAATCGATGTGCGTCTCTCACATGGATGTTTCTCTCTGTCTTTCCTTCTCTCTTCCACTCTCCCTAAAAGATCAGTGGAGCCCTAGCTGGTTTGGCTCTGTGGAGATAAGAGCATTGGCCTGTGGACTGAAGGGTCCCTGGTTCGATTCCAGTCAAGGGCACTTGCCCAGGTTCTGGGCTTGATCCCAGTAGGGAGCGTGTAGGAGGTAGCTGATCAATGATTCTCTCTCATCATTGATGGTTCTCTCTCGCTCTCTCCCTCTCCCTTCTTGTTTGAAATCAATAAAAATATATTTTAAAAAAAGATAAATGGAAAAATATCCTTGGGTGAGGATTAAAAAATAATAAATAAATAATAAACAATAAAGTGACTTCCTAAAAAAAAAAAAAAGACAGGACCTGACCTGGACTGGCAGGAATTGGCCTAATTGTTTCCTGTCCATGTAAGAAACACTGACACCGGTAGAGGATTTTTATGAGTTTATTTGAGCCAAACTGACAACAACTGCAAGGAAGCAAAATCTCAATAGATGAGAAAACGCTCCAGAGAACGGCAGTTTTGTACAGCACAA